TGATTGTGAGTATCCTTCACTGGGTCATTAGTTTTTGTTGATGAATGAGGCACGACTTGGTTTTGAAAATCTATCACAAAATGGAGGAGCATTCTTAGATCAATTTAACAATCAGAATAAACAAAAAGACGATTATGCAAAAGAATTCAGGACATAACTGTCACTTGCATTGAAGGTCATATCGAAGTGCGTATAATGAAGTATCTCAAGTTCTATCAGAAATGGAAGTAGAAGGCAGATGAAGGATTTATATAGTAAAGAAGCTCTAAACTGAACACAAAAGATGCAGAAAAATAATGAAAACCACAACAATGGGATTATAATTGCATGAGCTTCAGCAAATGCACATTCATAGAGCAACAATGTATCAAAGTAACCAAACGACAAGTCTACACAGCACAAATTAACCAACCGGAATATTTAAAAAACCAATAAAAAAGACAATCGGTAACTTTCAAAATTGAAAGTAGAAGTTTGACGAATGCTTCAAGGAAAAGCTATAATTTAAACCTTAATGGCATACTTCCTCAGAGGGAAATACATTTCCTTCTTCTTCTGCTTCTCCGTCTTCAAAGATGCCTGTGTCAAAAGGACCAAAACCAAAGTCAGCAAAAACATTAAAAACTGCCGTTGTTTGCAGCACCTAGTAAATAGAATTGTTGGACATAGCAAGTAAAAATGAATTATCAATATAGACATCAAATCAGTCACATCTTTGGGTAAATGGAACTTTTTTGCATCAACTGATCATAAAAAATGGTGGTGAACTAGAAATTGGCTTCTATTGGACCCAGAAAAATCCCCTAGTAAGTTTATTATTGGATTCGGGTAAGTCGAAGCATGAAAATCAAACGATCACATAAAAAATAAATGAATAAACATAAAGATAATGCAATGCAATGAAACTATATGTTCTTTGAAATATGCTTACTCTACAAATCTTATCCGTTTAAGAGAGTTTGAGAAATAAAGCTCACAACTACAACAGATAAAAACAAAAACTATGAACAGAATACTTCTGATTTGGCATGCCTAATACAAATGGTTCAGGAAAACTATGCATTGCAAGCCATCATATAAGATAGATAGATATCTTGGATTCACGACTCATAACTTTCAGAAGTTGCAAGACAAGCCAGACACATAACTATAAAATTAAACAAACTGAATCTTAAACATTATAACTTATAAGGTTAAAAAAAGATTTATTAGAATGATATACACCACCAATTAGTTTAAAGGGATAGACAAACTGGAATCTAAAAGGCACTAGACTAAAGTACACCTTTTTTCTCAACAATACACACTCATATGCTAAAGATTAACAATCCTGACATAATCCTGCCCATCTTAAAGAGAGACATTTGCAAACATTAATATAATCATTCACTTAAGAGTTGTGTTCCCAATTAAACCAGTGTTCAAACTTGCAATCTAGCATGATAACTAAACCAATTAAGCTCAAATGATATAAACATATAAAAAAGAACTGCAAGTAATTGGGTCACTGTACATATAATTTCACTTGTAACACAAAAAATGTACTTAGTGATGAATATATCATGAGAAAAGCCAAAAAAAAAAAAAAAAA